AAAGAATAATATATAGGGATTCAACAGTAGAGTAGAGGATTCCAAGAATCAAATCAATAATTTGAAATATGAGGAAGCAAAAAAACACTCAATTAGAAGAGCAAGAAGAAATAAAAATCCAAAAATATGAAGATAGTGTAAGGAACCTCTGGGACAACTTTAACTGTACCAACATTCTCATTATGGGGGTGCCAGAAGAAGAGAAAGATATTGAAAATCTATTTGAAGAAATAATAACAGAAAACTTCCCCTGCCTGGTGAAAGAAATAGACTTATAAGTCCAAGAAACATAGAGTGTCCCAAACAAGAGGAACCCATAGAGGACCACACCAAAACACATTATAATTAAAATGCCAAGGGCTAAAGACAAGGAGATAATCTTAAAAGCAGCAAGAGAAAAGCAGTTAGTTACCTACAAGGGAGTACCCATACGACTGTCAGCTGATTTCTTAACAGAAACTATGCAGGCCAGAAGGGAGTGGCAAGAAATATTTCAAGTGATGAATAGCAAGAACCTACAACCAAGATTACTCTACCCATCAAAGCTATCATTTAAAATTGAAGGTCAGCTCTAACCGGTTTGGCTCAGTGGATAGAGCGTCGGCCTGCGGACTGAAGGGTCCCGGGTTCTATTCCGGTCAAGGGCATGTACCTTGGTTGCAGGCACATCCCCAGTTGGGGGTGTGCAGGAGGCAACTGATTGATGTTTCTCTCTCATTGATGTTTCTAACTCTCTATCCCTCTCCCTTCCTCTCGGTAAAAAATCAATAAAATATATATATTAAAAAAAAATTGAAGGTCAGATAAAGAGCTTCACAGACAAGAAAAAGCTAAAGGAGTTCATCACCCCAAACCAGTATTGTATGAAATGTTGAAGGGTATTCTTTAAGAAGAGGAAGAAGAAGAAAAAGAAAAAAAGAAAAAAAAATGAACAACAAAATGGCAACAAATACATACCTATCAACAATTGAATCCAAAAATCAAAATAAACAAATAAGAAATCTAATGAACAGAATAAACTGGTGAATAAAATAGAATCAGAGGCATGGAAATAGAACAGACTGACGATTCTCAGAGGGAAGGGGAGGGGCAGGAAGAGTCTGTAATAATCTCAACAATAAAGACTTAAAATTCAGATGACTTCACTGGTTAATTCTACCAAACATTTAAGGAATTAACCCCAATCATTCTCAAACTCTCCAAAAAAATTGATGAGGAGGGAACACTTCCTTACTCATTCTAATAGGCTAGCATAACCCTGATACCAAGAAAACTACAGACCAATACATCCTATGAATATTGACACAAAATCATCAACAAAATACTGGCACACTGAGTTCAGCAGCATATTAAGCTAATTGTACACCGTGGCCAAGTGGCATTTATTCCCAGAATGCAAGAATGGTTCACCATACAAAAGTCAATCAATACAATACAACAGAATAACAGAATAAAGGGGCAGGGGAGTGGGGAGACAAACAACACCTACTGTGCTAAGAGGGAAGTCTGGCCCAATGTGACCAAGCTCTCAATTTTCAAGAGAAGCTAGAATTCTGAATTTCCTTCTTTCTCTGAGTCCTTAGTCTTTTGATGTTAGTTCACAGCACTTACTAGCTGACATTCTATCTTCTGCACATATGTCTCCTTGTTCATGTCTGTCTCCCAGAAGCTAAGCTAACCTCTGTCTCCCAGGGCCTGAGCAGAGCCTGACCCACAGGAGACCTCAATCAACATGAGCTGAACCAAGCGGGTACAAGAGAGTTGGGCTGGATGATGGGTCCTTGTGGTGATGGGAATGCTCTGTACCTTGACTGTATCAATGGCAATATCCTGGTTGTGATATTGGACTATAGATTTCAAGATGTTACCATTGGGGAAAACTGAGTAAAAGATACGCAGGTCTCTCTGTGTTATTTTATACAATGCATGTTAATCCACCATGATTTCAAAATTAGAAGTTTCATTTTAAAAAGCTTACAAACAATAATTTAAATGAGCAAACAAATGCCTGAAAGGTCTACTACAGGGGTCCTCAAACTTTTTAAACAGGGGGCCAGTTCACTGTCCCTCAGACCGTTGGAGGGCCGGACTATAGTTTTAAAAAAAAACTATGAACAAATTCCTATGCACACTGCACATATCTTATTTTGAAGTAAAAAAACAAAACAGGAACAAATACAATATTTGTATTTGCATGTGGCCCGCGGGCCGTAGTTTGAGGACCCCTGGACTACTACAAAATATCTGACCAGTATTATTTTTATTTCCAATTGTTGGGGGGGGAGGGAGCTCAAGAAAAAAACTGACATGTATCACTGTATAAGTTTAAGGCATATAGCATGATGGTTTGATTTACAGATATTGTGAAATGATTACCACAACAGGTTTAGTTAACATCCATCATCTCACATAGATACAATAAAAAGAAAAGACAAAATAGTTTCACCCTGGGATGAGAACTCTTAGGAATTACTCTCTTAACAACTTCCCTATGCACCACGCAGCAGTGTTGACCATAGTTGCCATGCTGTACCTACATCCCTGGGACTGACTTGCCTTATAACTGGAAGTGTGTCCCTTTTGACCCCCTTCCTTCAGTTCCCCCTGCTCCATGTCTAAGTGAGATCATACAGTATTTGTCCTTCTCTGTCTGGCTTATTTCACGTAGCATAATGCCTTCAAGGTCCACCTGTGTTGTCACAACCTGACCAATATTCCTCAAAGCTTATTTTTCATTCCTTAAGGTTGTGAAAAATAAGGAAAGACTGAGAAACTATCACAGACAAGGAGATCAAGGAGACATGACAACTAAATGCCCATGTGGGATCCTGGGACAGAAAAAGGACATCAGTGAAAAACTGAGGAAGTCTGAATAATGTCTATAATTTAGTCGATAGTACAATACCCAATGTTAATGTCTCAGTTTTGACAAGTGTACCTTAGTTATGTAAGGCGGTAACATTAGGGGGAGCTGGGTAAAGAAGGGTAGATGAGAACTCTCTAGTATTTTTGCAACTTTTCATCATATATATATATAATTGACTTCAGAGAGAAACATCAATGATGAGAATCACTGATCGGCTGCCTCCTGCACGCCCCCTACTGGGGGATCAAGCCCAAAACCTGGGCATGTACCTTTGCCCAGAATTGAACCCGGAATCCTTCAGTCCGCAGGCCAATGCTCTATCCACAGAGCCAAACCAGCTAGGGTGCAATGTATTATTAAATCTAAACTAGTCCAAAATTGAAGTGAGCTTTTTTTTAAATGTATGGTTAGAAGAAAAATGTCCAATAATGCACCAGGTAGTTAACTAGAACTGTGCGTGCTTATCTTTTCAGATAAAGATCATGTAAATCTAAGCAATAAAAAAGTTGGGGTGTACCACCTATAAACAATTTGCTGTGGTTTGAATCCACAATCCCTCAGCCAAAATCCTTGGGGCCAGATTTGCTTTGGAATTTAGAATCTCTTTGATTTCAAAGAAGCATGGCACATGTGCTGTGCATTCAACCCCACTGGGGTCCAAGGGCAGCATTTATCATCAAACATATGGACATTTATTTAGCAAGAACATGGACAGTCACACCATGTAGGATAAATAAAGACCACAAACAGCCACTTGCCCTTTGTAAGACAGTGTTGCAAAATAATTTTGCTAAAAACTTTCAGTTTTCAGAATTATTCAGAAATTCAAAATAGTCGATAGGGGATTGTGAACTGGATTAACAGGATTCCAAATAAATAAAGCTTTTGATTTTTAATGTTAAACTTCCAAATTTCTAAAAAATTTTATCACCTTAATATCTCTCTCTCTCTCTCTCTTTCTCTCTCTCTCTCTCTCTCATACACACACACACAACACACACACCACACACACACACACACACACACATTTAGGAGTAACACTCAATTCAGAGACAACAAGGGGGGGGCGGTTCTGGAATATTGATAACATTTCATTTCTTAATCCAGGATGGGTTAGAATGGTGACAATATGCTGAACTATGCACATACAATTTGGCCACTATTCTGCATTATGTTAAATGTTAACAGGACTTTTTTTCAGAAGCAGCAATCATCACAGAATTAAATTTAAAGCCACAACATGTTAACACTGCAAGAGTCTTCCGTCATTTAAGATACATAGTCCTGTTTCCTGGGTTCCCAGAGTGGTGAAGTGATCTGCCCAAGGTCACACAGCACGGTGGTGAGAGAGCTGGGACCCCTCGCCTGCCTTCTAATGCAGGGCTCTTTTTTATAATGCTAAAACATGAGATTTCTGTTTCAAACATTTGTTCTACAATGTGTTACTAATTAACTGGGAAAACTTGTAATACCATCACATTGGAGTTAATACCACAACATTTTTTGCTCATTTAGATTTATTTTTTCCCATGAAATTACTGAACTGATGTCTGGATCAGATGTCTCTGTTTAATTTGGTGTAACTATGCTTCTCTCTAATAATGCATAAAACCATCAATGACCATAAATACGATCTGAGAGTTCTGCCACATCAACCAACCTAATCATTCAGCTATAAATATATCATGAATGATTTAAACCACAATAATTAGATTCATTTTTTTAAAAAAAGTTTGCCTTCTGGTTAGCTATGACATTTGAAGAATGGGAAGGGAAATATGAATTGGGTGCTTTTGACTTATCTACTTTTAATATCTTACCACTTTCCCTGTCGGTACCATGTGACTCAACTTTGCCTTTTGTTGCAATTGCAATCTTGCTTTTGTCAGTTTGCAATCTTGCCGCTTGTCGCTGAAGGGGGGCAGTACTAGGAAAGCACTGAGCTCATACTAAGAACATAATTTAATGCTTTCTCCCACTGGAAATATAAATGATGGAGGAAGAGGCACACAAGCAGAAAATTCCCAACGCCAGGCATCTATGAAAACCTAGTTCTCTGAGATCGAATCATAACTTCCATAGAAGAAAAAACACAGTCAAATCAGAGGTTCTCAACTGGCTTTCAAAGTGTGAACCCCTGGTAAGTGGCCTTGTTCTCCACCTTTTTCCTTTTGGTTCTGCTGACGCTGCCCGGCTCTCGTCAGCGTCCGGCCCGCTCTCTCCTTGAGACCGAGCACCATGCCTTCAATTAAATTGCAGAGTTCTGATGGAGAGATATTTGAAGTTGATGTTGAAATTGCCAAACAATCTGTGACTATCAAGACCATGTTAGAAGATTTGGGAATGGATGATGAAGGCGATGATGACCCAGTTCCTCTACCAAATGTTAATGCAGCAATATTAAAAAAGGTTATTCAGTGGTGCACCCACCACAAGGATGACCCTCCTCCTCCTGAGGATGATGAGAACAAAGAAAAGCGAACAGATGATATTCCTGTTTGGGACCAAGAATTCCTCAAAGTTGACCAAGGAACACTATTTGAACTAATTCTGGCTGCAAACTATTTAGACATCAAAGGTTTGCTTGATGTTACATGCAAGACTGTTGCCAATATGATCAAGGGGAAAACCCCTGAAGAGATTCGCAAGACCTTCAATATAAAAAATGACTTTACTGAAGAAGAGGAAGCCCAGGTACGCAAAGAGAACCAGTGGTGTGAAGAGAAGTGAAAAGTTGTGCCTGACACTGTAACACTGTAAGGATTGTTCCAAATACTAGTTGCACTGCTCTGTTTATAATTGTTAATATTAGGCAAACAGTAGACAAATGCAGCAGCAAATCAATTGTATTAGCAGAATATTGTCTTCATTGCATGTGTAGTTTGGGTACAGATTCCAAACCTATGGCTGAGTTTCTTCCAGTATGATCAAAATATCTTTTCTTTGCTCTGAATAAAACTGAATTGTGGGTTCTCTAGAAAAAAACAACAACACAAAAACTCATGTGCTTTTGTCCCAGATAGTTACCTTCACACATGTCAAAAATAGCCTGGTTATGTTAGTGTTTATGTCATGCTTTCAGTGGGCCTTTCCACTGAACTTGGGTGTCTAACAACAGCGACCCGTGAAGTAGCCTGAAGTATGCTGCTAGAAAACAAGGTAACTAGATGGGCAGCCCAGGATTCTCTGGGACTAGCTTCTTTGGTAGACAAAGCAGAATTACAAAGGAAAAGGGTATTCCCCATGGAATTATGATTAAAATAATAATATTAATTTGTATTCAGGTAAGATAGAATTGTCCAGAAAAAAGTAAGCTATATTCGCCTCTGTCTCTTGTTCCTCTCCTACAAATGTTCCACTAGAAAGTTAGCTACAGTTCTGCCCTCGTCCACATAAAAAGCAAATGAATAGTTACCTCACTGCCTTTTTCATATATTATAATCACATAAAAAAAAAAAAAGAACAAAGTGTGAACCCCTAAATTGTGTGTGGGGAGGGGAGGAGGCCCTTCCCTTCATCAGAATCTCAGAAGGAGCCACGGCCTTGGGTAAAGGAGGGATGAGGCGAAGAATCAATGGCCACTATAAATAAATAGAGGAAAGTGAGGTCTGGGAGTGACACCCCTAGTTTCCAGTACAGGTTTTACAAAATATCTAAACATCCCTGCCAATGTAGCATAACATTGTACCTTGGACACTTGGAACAGCCCTGTGAGGCAGGCAGGTAGCGCTGGCTTCATTTTGCAGATGAGAACAATAAAGAACTTGTCAAAGCTCAATGGCTAACATATGTGGATGCAAGACGCTGGGATTTGGCACTTAAACTAAGTTCTACTCGAATTTGTCTCAAGCACTGCTGAGGATTAACGGGGTCTCTAGAATGTTCTCCCACTAGGTCAGACCGCACCATTGTGTTTTTAAAGCAAAGATCTTATGCCCTAGCCGGTTTGGCTTTGGTCCACCTGCAGACCAAAGGGTCCCAGGTTCAATTGTGGTCAAGGGCATGTCCCTTGGTTACAGGCTCCTCCCAGGCCCGGGCCCTGGTCCAGGCGTGTGCAGGAGGCAACCAATCAATGTGTTTCTCTAACACTGATGTTTCACTCTGTCTTTCCCTCTCTCTTCCACTCTCTCTAAAAGGTCAATGGAAAAATATCCTCTGGTGAGGATGAACAACAACAAAGATCTTACATTGTATAAAATTATGATAGAAATGCAATTTTCAGTGCATGAGTTTTATTTTATACAGCAATTTAATTTTAAAAACTGCCTTTTTTCTTCTCCATACCCTCTCTCCACCCAAGGCTAGCTCACATCCAAACTTTATTTTCCATCCTCCTTCCAGCCATTCCTCTGTGGGTACTGAAACCCACCAGTGGTAGAAATACTGCTCCCTCTGTGCCTTCCACACCAGAAGTTGGGCATCTTTTCCTGCCCACCCTCCCAAAGGGCTCTCCTCACTTCTTCACTTCTCACTATGGACTACTAGGGACTTGCTGCCCAAAATAGCAAAGGGAAGAAAAAAAAAACATTCCACCACCCTTTCCTATCTAGGTGTTTAAATGCCAGAGCTATCTTCCAGCTACCCTATGACCATTCTGAACACGGACACAGCTGTCAACAGAAGAACAGAAAACAAGAAGGTCCTGCGAGTTTGACCTGACAGAAGACAAATTTGTCACCAGTCTCCAAGTCGAAAATAGATCACCCACCGCTCAGAAGGGCACAGGGCCCTTTTCCACTCTTATCTCCCAGGCCTCCAGCGGTTACATGAAATGCGCTGTGCACTTGATGGAATGAAATGCCCGCCAAGGACATGATGACAATGACTCTGTAAGGTTACGTGGGAAAGTGCCGAGCTTCCAACACGATCACAAATCCAGGCAGGACAGCAAGGGCCCACACAATGTTTTCTCCCCCCAAAACCAACAGCTGGTCCAATGGCCTCCTTTTACAAAGCAAACCCAGTCTTCACGTCATTTCCAGCATGTGGCTCTCTCAGAGGCAGACCCAGGAACCTATGCTAAAACTAGACCTTGGGAATCAATTCACTTCTCAAGATGTCAGGATCTACCACAATCATCCAGATATGACACCATCGTTCTCCACCTGTCTCGTTCATATTACATTGGTGGAGTGATTCTTTTGGTGGCCCTAAGTTCAAGAGATCTCCAGCTCACTCAAGCATGGGACTTTATTATTTTTTAATTTATCTTTGAGAGAGGGAGGAAGAGAGAGAGAGAGAGAGAGAGAGAGACCGACCGACCGGTTTGCTGTTCCATTTATTTATATATTCATTGGTTGCTTCCTGTATGTGCTATGACTGGGGATCGAACTGCAACCTTGATATATTGGGATGATGCCCTAACCAACTGAACTACCCAGCCAGGGCCTTGAGCATGGGCTTTATTAGGCTGCTGCACAGAGAGTGAAATCAACACATAGTGAACGTCTGTGGTTCCCTTTTATAATTTATTTTTAAGTACTAGTAGCTCGGCTTCTCATCCAATTTGACATCTCAGGAGAGATGAAAATGTTCATAGAAAAAGCGTGCCAAGTTTTGAATGCAACTTCTCAGTGACCAGTGGGAACCTGCCTGAACTGCCACAGGACTCCGTAGCACACACATTTCTACCCTAAAGAAGGTACAAATTAAGCTGCAATTTATGAGGCTCTGTCAGTGAATTCTGTAACAGAGTAAGATCAGAAGCTCCCCCTTCTTTTTTCTGATTTTAACAATGTCTTGGGCAAATGATAATTCTATCCCTGTATGTGTGTGTGTGTGTGTGTGTGTGTGTGTTAATTTATGAGGCTCTGTCCGTGAATTTTATAACAGAGCAAGATCAGAAGCTCCCCCTCTTTTTTCTGACTTTAACAATGTCTTGGGCAAATGATAATTCTATCCGTGTGTGTGTGTGTGTGTGTGTGTGTGTGTGTGTGTGTGTGTGTGTGTTTCCTTAACTGATAGTCTGGGAGAATTCTTTCTATGAATTTCTTTAAAGGCTGAGTAAATTTACTCACCCTTCCCTCCAAAATGCATTAGTTAAAAAATCTTTCGAAGTGAGGGATACAGCCCTGTTCTTAGTCAGAGTACATGCTCTGATTTTTCTCTCTTCCATCACCATCAGATAGCCCTATGTAAAGCACACTTCCTGAAATCACTTAAAGGGCGAACAAAAATGTAAGAGTCACACTCATTGGCTGTTCACCTAATATTCCATGCGGTTACTAAAGCAATCATTTTAATTATGGGGAGTACTAGAAGTTTCTCCTACTTCAGAAAGCTGACTCAACACGTGAATTTTGTGTTTAAAAACAGATCAGATGGCTCATATTTTGGAAGCCTGTTTGGCTTTCTAATGGAGCCATTTAAGTTGACATTTTACTTTTATCTAGAAATGTGCCTACAAAAGCAATGAAATCCTATTCACTTTAAACTCTGCACCTAAGTCAGGTTTTTACCCTTAACGTCTCCCAACAAACAGAATAAAAAAGGAGCTCTTAAGAGCAATTGTGAGTGTTAGGTGACACTCACAATTCAAACCTGACCTGGCATGTACCCGAAAATACTACAAACTCCTCCTCCACCCAACAAGATTCATGGAAACCAATTACCCAGCACCCAACAGGCTCCAACCGCCCTGAGGCTGGCCTCCCACTGCAACTCAGCCACCTGCGTGGTAGATGGCGCGTGTAAGCTTGGCCAGTGCTCGGGCTGAAAGATAACTGCCTTCTGCCATTAACAAGTTAATGAAGAGCGACCTATGAGGTCGGAGGCCACCTGATGCCCACAAGTAAACGAAAGCCAACTATGAAATCAAGAAAGTGGTCAAGTGTTAAATGAGACCAAAGTCCAAAAGAGGGGTATTTGGCAGCCACCTCAAAAATGGTGAATATCCTAATCCAAAAACTGAAAAAATATCTATGAGTTTTTACTGATATAAACAAATTAATGTGGAAGAAAGAGCAGCTCTTCCTTAGAAGAGAATTCCAGTTAATAAATGTAGAAGACAAGAGTGAAACGGAAATTCAGCATCAGAACCACAGCAGTAACTGCTACAGGCAAGTTCCACCAAAGAGGAGCTTAAATTAGCAGGCAGGAGTTTCAGGAGAAACAAGATATTTGCATAACCTTACAGGATCTCCCTGGAGATATTCTTAATCCCACAGGGGGAGAAAATCAACCTTTACCTTTACAGTTAATACCACCTTACCCAAGCGATTAAGTGATGCACTGACATGGCATGTCCCTTCTGTGGGACTCTTACTTTAAAAATGCATAAGTTCAATCTGGTCATGAGAACATATCAGAGGAAATCTACGGTCTTTTTACAGCAGGGGTTGCAAAACTACAGCTCGAGGGCCAATCTGGACCTCTGCCCATTTTCATAAGTGAAGTTATACTGGAACATAGTCACACCCATTCATTTACATATTATCTAAGGTTGTTTTCATGCTTCAGCATAAAGCTAAGTTGCTGCAACAGAGACCATATGGCCTGCAAAGCCGAAAATATTTATTATCTGGCCTTTGACAAAAAAAGTTGAGTGGTCTTTGTTTTAAAAAAAATAACAAGCCAGTACTCTTCCAAAGTGTCAAGGTCACCCTGGCCAGTGTGGCTCAGTGGTAGAGCATCAGCAGGCACACCAAAGGGTCAAGGGTTCGAATCCCGGTCAAGGGCAGGTACCTGGGTGGCAGGTTTTTCCCCCAGCCCCAAGTCGGGAGTGTGAGGAAGTCAACTGATCAATGTGTCTCTCTCACATCAGTGTCTCTCTCTCTTCTCTTCCACTCTCTCTAAAAATCAATGGGAAAACAATATCCTCTGGTGAGAATTTAAAAAAAAGACAAGGTCATGAAAGACAAGAAAAGATTGAATTGTCATACACTGGACAAGGCTATAAAAATGTGACAACTAAATGTCATGTGGGATCCCGGATTGCATCCTGGAATAGAAAAAAGAAGCATTTATGGAATAACTGCC